CAATTTCTATAATAGGACAGCTTAGCCAATAACTCTGGCCAGCTTTTATATATAAACTGCCCAGAGTTATTGGCTGAGATGTCCTACTATAGAAATTGATTGACTGACTGACTGAACGAATGAATGAATGAATGAATGAATAGCATTGAACAAATATATAACAAAAATACTAAAAACATTTTAAAACACTAAAAACATCCAGATTAAATATACATAAGAGCAAGATATTGGCCAGTTAGCAATATAGTCAGGATATGGAGTCCTTAGCACCCCAGGCATGGGAACATGGCCAGGTTTTAAGGCCTCACGAAAATTGAACAGACCAACAGATCACCTCACCCAGTGGCTCATGTAAATGTTAAATAGAATAGGACAGAAAACAGCCCTGAGGCAACCACAAAGGGGCCATGGCCTGGATCTCTCTCCCTCTATCAACACTGATTGGAACTGGCCCTGGAGAATGGAGGAGAACCAATACAATACCATGCTGCCCACCTCCAATTCCCAGAGATGGCCCAGAAGGATACCATGATCAAATGGCTCTCAGAGCTCAAGAAGAGCCAGGATGGATGTTCCTGCCAGATGTCATCCCTGAGCATGATCAGTGCTGTCTCAGTCCCAAACCCTGGTCTTCATCCTGACTGAAAAGATGTAGATAATCATCTCATCCACAGTTCTCTGAAGTTGCCATGTGACCATTCTCTCCACCACCTTCCCTAGAAAGGGGATATTGGAGACTTGACAAAAGCTGACCAGCTTATCTGGGTCGAGCGATTGTCCTTTGAGGAGGGGGTGCACCATTGCCTCTTCAACAGCCAGCAGGACCAGTCCCTCTCTCAAAGAGTTTATTGCCCAGACCTACTCACACATTCCCTCTATAAGGCCTTAATTAGCCAGGAGAGGCACAACTCTAACACACAACCAGCTGAAGTAGCAGCTGAGGGGGCGCTGTCCACTTCTTCAGGTTCCAAGGGCTCGAACTCTTCCCAGATCACTAGCAAGACATAGCCCCCACCACTTCCATTGACTCTAATATAAGGTAAAGGTCCAACATACAGTGAATGTGACCAATTTTGTCTGCTAGATATATGCGCAGCCTAGTCTTCACAGCAACCCTTTAGGTGGACTTTGGCATTGCTCCCTCCAAGAGACTGAATCACCTGAAACAGGGCTACTGGGCGACTATCGGCAGACACAATAAGGGCAGAGAAGTAATTACATTTCGTCACCCTTATCGCTACAAGGTAGGCCTTAATAGTAGCTCTAGCTGTATCCAAATGTCTCTGCTCCCTGTCTTTTGCCAGCGACACTTTAGGCATCTCTTAGCCTGCTTAAATTCCCTTAATTCCATCATATACTGCAGGGAATGGTGGAAACCCTGGGCAAGGAGAGGCTGTTCAGAAGTGATCCGATCTAAAGCCACCGATACTTTGCTATTCCATGCAGTCAAGGCTTCAATCAGACCGACTAGCAGGTTTTCCAGAATAACTCTAAGCTCCCTCTGGAACCCAATGAGTTCCATTAGTCATGTGAGTCAGGCCAATCCAATAGTTATTGTAATCATAGCATTAATTCTATAGGATTTTCTATAGGGTAGCTCCGATAAAAGCACATAGTTAGTGGGAAAAGGCCTTATCATTGCAGAGAAAAGCATTAAAAGGGACATAGACAATTTCTGCTTAACACTTTAAAAACACCAGATGGCATTATCAGTCTTTCTCTAAATTAGGAGATAGGATTAATGGACTTCCACAAGTCTACCCTTCCTGGAGATATTGAATATTCCTTATTAAGTATGTAGGCCAAGTGTATTCCATTCACACTACATAAAGACGGGAGTCAATTTATAATCAGAAAGAGGCCTTTAACACAAATCAGAAAATTCGAGAACCGAAAACCAAGACAGATTTGGAATGAATCATACCTCCTCTGCACAATTAGCTAGAAAAATGAGAAGATATGATTCTTATCTTCAACTTCTCACCCCAATTCCTTCTTTCAATAACTATTTCTATTATCAAAAGGAACACAAATTCAGAAAGTTTCAAACGGTACAGACTTCTTCTGGACATGCAGTATCATTTGACCCAGAAACACAAAAATGCAGCAGTCTATTTTTTAAAATCTACACCTGAATAAAATGCAACAATGGAATCAGACGGTCCATCAGATACCGCTGCAACACACATAGGATTTAGTTATTGTTTTAATATGCCACACATCTGCCTAATCGAAAATATCCCTTTAAGGGTCGTACAGTGTGATGATCAAGGACTGCTAGCAAAAGATGGAAGAAGTTGGGACTAAACTGAATTTGACGGCAGGGTGTGCCTTAAATGTTTTAAATTGGCTGCTGGTGTGCCTTAATTGTGTTAAGTAAAATAAGTAATAAGCTGATGGTGTTTTTACCCTCAGAGGCCCTGAGGTTCTGCTGCTGGTGGTGAATGCCAAGTTGGTCAATAATAAGGCTCACCTCATCTAAGACCTTATTGAGGAGGAGCAAGCCAACCTGGCATGCATCACCAAGACTAGGCTGACTCTGAAGGGGAGGGTGTTCCCCTCTTGGAAATGTGCCCAGGGGTTTAGGGTTTGGCACAAGCCAAGACCCCAGGGCAGTGGGGGAGGGAAAGAGAATCTCATTTAGCCTTCAGGGGACTTGGTCTCCAGGTTTCTGGCTGTGAGACACTGTTCCTGAAGCTGGGCTCACAGAATTAAATGGGAGTGTTGCTACTGTACCAGCCTCCCTGCTGCATAGCAGCCTCCCTGCTTGAGTGGCTGGAGGCCCTCTCAGTGATGGCAGAGGAATTCAAGGCTTTTGGTCCTGGAGGACTTCAATCTGCCATCCCTGGGCTTGGCCTCAGAAGCAGCCCAGTTTAGTGACTATCATGGCAGCCATGGGCCTATCCCAGATCATCTAAGGTCAAACTCAAGGCAGTAGAGAGGCCACATGCAGGACGTTATTATCTTGTCAGAACAATGGCAACGTGACCTGGTGGACCAGTCCTTTCCCCCTTGTCATGATCAGATCAAGCCCTGCTGCCCTTCAGATTCTTTTATGCCATTCCCCTCCACAAGGAATAGAATAGAGCTGGAAGGGACCTTGGAGGTCTTCTAGTCCAGCCCCCTGCTCAAGCAGAACCTAAACCATCTCAGACAAGTGACTGTCCAGTCTCTTCTTAAAAATGTCCAGTGATGGAGCGCCCATGATTTCTGAAGGCAAGCTGTTCCACTGGTTAATTGTCCTCACTGTTAAAGAACTTTCTCTTTAAAGGAGACCGGACCCATTCAAGCAATCTGCCCCGGCAACTGATGGACCTGAATGGGTTCCAGAGGGAACTGAGGGATATCCTGGGGGGTTTGTTGCAGTCCTGCCAAAGGTTCAGTAACATTCTGGAATCAAAGGGTGGCTGAAGCTTTGGACAGGATCGTGCCTGTACAGCCACTCTTGACCCATCGCTCCCAATCCTCCCAATAGTTCAGAGAAGTTGCGGGTTCTGAAAAGGGTTGAGATGCCTAGAGCACCACTGGTGATAAACAAGGGATGATTCCAACCAGACACAACTTAGAGCTGCTATTAAGGCCTATCTTGTGGCAGTAAGAGCAGGGAAATATCATTTCTCCGCCTTTATTGCATCTGCAGTGTTGCCCTGCGGCCCTGTTTAGGAAACACTTGGTCCCTCCTGGGGCAGGAGGGCATGTGAAAGGGTCATCTCCAGGGCCTCACAGAGGAATTTGTTCAACATACGACAGACAAAATTGCTCAGATTCATTACCAGTTGGAACCTGTCTGGTGCTGCTCCATATGAGACGCCTGGGGAAAAGTCTTGCCCATTTTATCTGAGAAGTTTGATCCTGTTGGACCTGATGAAGTGGACAGGGTCCCTGATGCTGTCAGTGCAACCACCTGTCAATTATATCCTTGTCCCTCCCAGTTGGTGAAAGCCTCCAGAATGGTAATTGCCAGGCGAGTTCAAGCACTGATAAATGACATGAGGTACAAGATCTGTGGCTCTATAAATATGGATGTTTGCAGGGCTGGGGGGGAAAGGCAACAAGGTGTATGCAAGAACTGCTTTGTAGAATCTGATTGAAGATGTGTCTCCTTCAAAATTCTCTCTCCAACACAAATTAGGCAAAAATTTAAAGATATTTTATAATAAGATACGGGCAGCGTGATGACTCAGCGGTTAAAATGATGGGCTTGTCAGCTGGAAAGCCAAAAGCCCGGAGGAGGGATGTTCCTGGGGCCTTTTAAGAGGCCCTGGTTTGCCCCTTCCTAAACAAAAAAACCCCTCTTGATCCCATCTCTACAACTGGTGCAGAATTCTGTGGCGCAGCCATTCCTTGGGGCCCCTAGGATGCCCACATTATACCACTGTTACATGAGCTGCATTGACTGCCGGTTGGCTTCTGGATACAGTTTAAGTTGGTTATCACCTTTAAAGCCCTCCATGGCACGGATCCGGGGTATCTGAGGAACTGTCTCACTCCAATGGGTTTGGCCCACCCCACCTATGCTGGCAAAAGGGGCATGTTGCAGACCCCGTCAGTTAAGGAATATTTGCCGGCAGGATCCAGAAGAGCCTTTTCTGCTGCGGCTCCTGCCCTTTGGAACTCATACAACCAGAGGTGAGATTTGCACTCAACCTACTGACCTTCCAAAAGGGCCCAAAGACCTGGCTCTCCCAGTTGGCACCGGGCCCCCAGGGGGTTGCACCATACTGGAGGTGGCTATCGGATTAAGAGAAGATCCCACCTCTCACCAGGTATGTCATGCTCCCCTCCTCCCCATATTTTAACTGTAATTTTTATTGTTGTTACATATTGTTCTATCCTTTTAATGCTTGCTGGGTTTTTAATGTTTGTAAGCCACACTGGAGTTGCATCTAGATGAGATGGGCAGCACACAAATCTAATAAATAAATAATTTCGCAACAAGGTCAACACAAAACAATGACTGCACTGAGGCTCAGGAAACTATTCCAGAAACACAAGTTAAATATCTTGCCAGCACATTTTACTTGAAATAGGTAAAGAATCTTTTTCACTCATTTCCTCATTCCACAAACTTCTATTCAGAACATCGTTCTTTTGCGAGGGATGGAAAATTAGTTACAGATGAACTCCCCACTGGAAAGTGATTCTGTTAGGAGATTCTCAGCGCTATCAAGGTGCTTCGCTTGTTCAACTCCAGTGCTGTTCAGTGGGATGCCTCAACAGAAGAGAGTGTACTTCTGGTGTCAATCCCTTCAAGTATCAGTAATACTTTCAACATTATCCCAGCTTGAAACATGACAATTCAGTATAGACTCTCAGCTGGAAGTCTTTCTCTTCACAGTGTACTTAGATCTCTGCATCCAAAGTGTAGACCCGTATCAGTTCCAAGACTATCTGGTCCATGACAGGTTTGGAAAGATCTTCACTGAACACCTAAAACATAAATTAAAATGAGGAAAAAGTTTTAGCAAAGCAGGAAAAAAATCCAGGTAGGATCAAGTGGGCAAAATATTTTTTCCAGAAAATAAAGTACTCTATAACCAATTGGGATGAATATATTTTGCCTACTTTCCCTAACTAAGAGAGGTTTGAAGAATGCAAAAAATTCAATCTGACCACAGCTGGCAAAAAGATAGAAGAAATGGGTACAAATACATTCACATAAAAAAATTATGCTTCCCTCAATTAATGCCCATTCCATTAACAACTGCACTTTATTTCCAACTTCCGTACTGATCACCACAGCACTGGCTTTTATTCTTATCCTGCAAAGAAGCTCCAATGCCTGAAATAGAAGATGGATCTGCAAAGCTAAATTTTGGGTTTTTTTAATATTACGATTCCCAGAATTTTCCCATATTTTACAACTTAACATTCATCATCATCTGTATCTGTGAGATGCTACAGTTTTCATAGGGGCAAGGCTACGTCTAAGCAAGGATATGCCCTAATTATCTTAATTAAAGCAGATCTGTGCTCGATTCTCTCATGTTTTTGCAAACAAATGGATTAGGACCACTGAAAAGGATGGAGATTAGCTTTCCTGCCCAATGCTATTTATCTAGCTGAAATTGCTCCGCATATGATATCGATGTTATTTGCTCCATAGAGTACATGTATGTTTTAATTCAGTTCAAAGGTACCATGGTTGTATTAGCCACTTAAAAACAAAAACATGTAACCCAGCTATGGATATGTCAATTCATTTTACAACTCAAAATTTTATTATTCAACTAACAGCATGCCCAATTGTGAGCATGGACCTAATGAGCATTTTTTTGAAGTTTTGACTTAGCATAGTGTATGCATTTAGCTATTGTGATTTGTAAGCTATAGATTATGTCTTATTGATTTATGGTTATTTACTTATACAATTTATAATTCACATACTTCAACCACTCTGGTTGGCTAACATAAGGTTAAAACCTCCGTATTTCAAAACATTATGAGAAATAATGTCATGTTCAACTAACATCACCTGTCTCAAATGCTCAACAGTAAAACCAGATTTTCACTGTTTTCCTGAAATATCTAGATCTAGGGGCTGGCTCAGGAATTCTGGGAGTTGAAGTCCACGAGTCATAAAAGAGCCAAGGTTGCCTACCCCTGGACTAGAAAAAGACCACCAAGAAACCCCATTTCCATCCAAGAACCTGTCTCCTCAGCCTGCCAAGGAGCAGGGACCAGAGCATCCCCTGCAAACTGATCAAACAGGACAGACAGATTCTATCTGTGATCTGATCCCAAGCCACAGAGTGGCTTTATAGGTTAAGGCAAGCTTCTTGAAAGTCCTCAAAACCATACCGACAACATCGCAGTACCTACAATACAGATTTAACTCTGCTACAGCAGCTCTCACTTGCCAACGTGTGTGGGCTGCCACAATCTGTACCAACTGCGATTTCCAGGTAGTCTTCAAAGACAGCTCCAAATAGAGAACAGTTCCAGTAATCCAATGTTGACATAATGAGGGCATGAGTAACAGATGCTAAGGTTTCACTCTAAAAAAGGACCAGACACCTTAACTGGCAAAATAGTCGGAGCTGGGCCAAGGCTCTTCCTAACCTCCTAGGAGGAACCATGAATCCAGGAGAACTCCCAAGTTGCAGTCTACTTCGTCAGAGGGAATGCAACACAATCCAAAGCCAGTGAATGTTTATGTCGAAAAGCAATCCTGTCTTGCTGGGATTCATGTTCCAAAGCCCTCATTAGCTTCACATTTCAAAGAATGACAAGGCTTGCAACAAAACTACTCACCACAAATGCTGACAAAATCCTCAGGTGTGGGATGGAAACAAGAGTAGATCAATAAAATGTCCAGGGTAGATCATTTTAATCAATCCTCCACCCTTGTTGAGATCTCTAAAGGAAATTAGCTACAAACTGAGCATGACACGGCACTATTTATCTCATTGCCATTGAAGCCATGAACTCCCAAGTTATTCCTGATCCCATCCTCAGTGCATGGAAATTGAATTATCCTGCATAAGAGCCAGTTCAACGATAGCCCCACAATGAGATATAGAAACTCAGGGAGATTGCTGGACAGCAGGGTGTCTAGGAAGGCAGCAGAATCCCTAGCTTGTTACTAGAACAGAGTTTCAGAAAACACAGTCGGCCCACCTGCAGTAGGGTGTCTAAGAACAGCCCATGCAAAATCAGCACTGTTGTTCCCTGTCTTTCAATATGTGGCTCCTGAAACATCTGAAACTCTGGATAATTCTTGGATGGGTCTACTCTCCATTCTCAGCTAACCATGTCACAATTATACACATTAAGTGCAACCTAGGGTTTGTTCAGGCTAACCTGATTAAAACCACCTACAGCTCAGTATGATATATAACACAGCCAGAATGCACAGACCAGGATTGAGGAATTTGTATCTTCCCATGTGTGCTTTTCCTAAATCTAAATAAAGCTGGCTTGGGTTGACAGATACCAGAGGCAGGATCATAGTTTTGTTTTTTTACTAAGTGATCTGATTTAAAAATATGTAAGATAAGGATTTTATGTAGTTTAATATTTGCTTTGATTTTGATATATTACTGTATACTGCTTCAAAATTTTCTCTCAATATGGAAAGTTGTACATAGGACTGATTAAAGAAACAGCTGGAAGATCAATGGGAGGTTTTCCACTTCTGGTGCAGGTCAGGCCATAGCAGTGGCTTAATATCTAAGAAACTGCACTACCCACATTTCAGTTTAAAGTGCAGAGGCTGTGAAGCAAGGATGCTAAATAAATAAGCAAACAATCATATAAACAAAATCCCACACAGGCAAGCTCCAAAACCTGACCCAGTTAGAGCTGAAGGACACAGAAGGCATTTGAACTGCTGTTCACTTCCCACCCTGTCTCCCTTACCTGCCACCACGGTCGCTCGGCTTCAGCATCAGCAGGTACTTCCACTCCATAACACTGCAGAGCAAGGTAAAGGACTGTCACAGCAATATGCTGTGGAGAGTGCTGGAGGCACAGGGGACCATGGTAACTGTCCCGCAACAGAGCCCAAGCTGCTGCTGCCACAGGGGTCCGCTCCCAACTATGCCGGTTCATCCAGTGCTTCAGGGACAGTAAAAAATGGAGAAGGTACTGCATAAAGAAAAAGACATCTGTCAGGGATCATTGAAAACATGGCGGAGGAGAAGAAAAGAACCTGGCACCAACTTCTCTTGTAACAGGACTATTCATTCAGTGCCTAAAGGCAGAGAAGTAAAGACTTAACCCCTTGCCTCCCATGTACTTCATGCACACCATTTCTACCCTATGTCCCTTCTATGTAGCCTGGACCTTATGGGGTTGCTGGAAGGAGACACGGAAGCAGAGCACACGTAGCATGAGCAGCTCACACTGGACAATGCTGTCTCTCAGCTCCCAGAAATGTGTGTCCAGCTCCAGGGGGTCACTCCGAGGATGCAAGTACCTGAGAGGAGTAAAGAAAAATGCTGAAATGTTTCTGTTTGCAAGTAAGCTGACTTGGGCCTTCCTCTGAGCTCCCAAGTTAAGGGTGAGCTTACAATCCTCTATGGCTTTCTGACAGGTTGTCTCATTTATGAAGGATATTTTCAATAGGAATAATTTTACTCGATAGAGCAGATGTATTTATTTTTGAAAATTATCATGGATCTGAAGTTGTTGTTATAATATATAATTACAGGTAGTCTTCGACTTACGATTTATGATCTCTCCCACACTATCTTACAGTTCAACATACATCATTATTTAGCTAATTCATAAAAGCGACCTTGTGACCCCCTTTGAAATTACAACAGACCAGAAAAAGGGGAATTACAATCCGAAATACAAAGTTCTGACAGTTGGATCCCCTCCACGGTAACACAACCCCAACCGCAGACACTCAGCAATATGGCCACGTTCTATGATGGTTTTGCCAAAAACCAGCACACACATCCAGTAATTCGACATTTATGACTGCTGCATTCACTTAACAACACCACAAAAAATGTTGTAAAATAGAGTTGGTTAGATGGCCCAACCCATTTTACAACCATTACAACATATGACTGTAGTGAGCAGGCTCCATCAAGGTTGTATGTTGAGGACTACCTGTATTAGAAAGAAGAAAGAAATTGCCATAAAGCCAGGGAAGAATTTCCCTTCAAGGTCAGCTTTGCTAATCACTAGGGAAGAAACATCTCTCCCACACCACCTTACAGTTCAACATACAACATTATTCAATGAATTCATAAAAGGCTCCGAAGCTATTTACAAACATAATCATTTGGTTCAGATCCCCCTTCATCTCCAGGAAGAATATATAGTATACATAGCAATCCTCTCCTCCTATTTTATCTTTCCCAGAACAGTTAGGTAAAACAATGGACTCAAAGCTCCCCAACATTATAGTGACTGAGTAGAGGTTCGAAGCTGGCCCTGCAATGTAGAATGTTTTGCCTAGTTCTGGATTCCTCATCTAGAATCTAGGTAAGTTAATTGGGTGGAGAGGGATTGGACAGATAAAACGCTAAACTTCAGGTTCTTCATAGAATTTCTAGTTTTTCCCAGGACTATTGTTACTTGAAAGTTCAACTGGAGTTATCCCTGCCTCTTACTTCATGAACATAAACTTGGCCGTCCAAGCTTAACTTTTTTTTAAATAGGAGTCTGAGCTCTCTGCAGGTTTAGGAGATTCTGCCAAATCCCACTACATTCTATATTAAAACTTAGATTTACCTATTGACCATAATATACAGATATTTTTATAGCCTGAAACAGCTTATGGAATTCACATCACAGATACAGAAAAGACAGTTGGCTTACATGTTATTCATAGTTTAGATCTCTGGGCTCAGAGGCAAAGAATAACAATTGTTCAGGAGAACCCAAAGTAGAAAAGCATGTGTTAACTTCCTGTTCTATTTATGGACTTCCTGAAAAAATCTCACCAATATAAGAATGGATGAGATCTTTTTCTAATCCACAAGGTCTTTTGGGGTTCCTGAATCTTACAAGGAAGTCTTGTGTATTAAGATGACTTAGCACAGTTGAAGCTAAAGAATCAGATTTATCAGGGATAAAGTGCATTATAATTTAAAGCAAATGGACCTATTACCTAAGCCAATCTTCTTCAATCTGCTCTTCTTCCAAGTATGTGGGGATGTAATAGCCAGAATTCCTAACTAGTATGACCAAATACTGGGAATTCCACCACATTTTGAAAAGCACCAGGTCCACCTGGCTACCCATTCCTTGATTCAGCAATTACTTTTACTGTAGTATAGGCTCTCTTTACAATGGGAAATGCCAAGCTGCAAGAAGTTGGTTTTGCTGATTCTAAGCAGCTACTTATTCCTCATCCATCCAGCCTGTCTTTTGTAACTACATATCTTGATCCCAATGCTTATTACCTGTGGCTCACATTGATGATGTCTCTTATCCGCAAATGCTGTTCTTCTACTTTCCCAGCCAGATACAGTGCAGCCATAGCTACCAAGTAAGGATCATACGACTCCAGAGGCACCTCCGTAAAAAATCGGTGATAAATGGTGCACGCAGTAGCAATAGGGACAGAGCGCAGGCCTAACTTCACACCTGTTAGCAGAAAAAAGAGATATAGCAAGGAATTTCTAGCTCTTCCAAAAGAATAAGGAAGAAAGAATCGAGACATGACTTCTTGACTCAGAGATGACCTGACCACAAGCAGAGACTGTGATGTAAAAGCCATCAGGAAATTCATCTACACAAACCTCCCTGAAATTAATGGAAGTTGGCAAGATCTGTCCTACTTGCAGAACTCTCATTGTATTACTGTTTAGGAATGGGAGACTTGAGGCCTAGTGGGATATGAAACAACACACCTAAACAACACTGTTGACATTCTGGGGAAATGGGAGTTGTAGAGGTTCAGACCCAAGTATTTTTATCCAGTTCCTCCATCAGAAATCTAGAATTCTCACAAATAAATGCAAACACACTGGAAATGTCTGCATGTCTCAAGTATAAGACATAATTAAAACCAAGTAAAAGTCATATCTATTCCACACTACTTCATGAAGCCAACCAATCTAATAACTTGCATTGTCTTTGACTTTAGATCTATCCAGTAAGACCCCCTAACTCCAAGTGCCTCACAGATCGGCACTTCCTCCCAATACAGCAACTTCTTTTTCACAGGATTTGGGCATTACTAGCCAAGGAAGGCAGATAACAATCAGCAATAACAATTGTTCACTCACCTGCTTCCATGATGAACCTGCAGACTTTGAAGTGAGTTCTGACATTTGCAGATAGCTGACTGGTTTCCGGCAGTCCAGTGGGATTCATGAATGTTGGTTAATCTCAAGAAGATCTGCATAAGCAAGAGATAATTTAGGAAACACTCTTCCTTTACAGAGCTTCTATTATTCTCTCTACAAACAAAACTCTCACAAGTTGCTATTAACCATATTCTATTTCGTTCCACTTTTTAACTGAAACTCAAACAGCTACCCATGTTTTCTACTCCAGGGTGAAGACAAATCTAGGAAAAGTTCCATTTTCTGTATATTGAAGGACAGATATAGAGGAAAGATCATAGCTTTCCATCTCCTTATAGAACCAACTAGAAATCTGGGGCAGAAGCACTGTAGATCTCCTAGAACAGGGGATCCCTATGCAAGATGATATTCCAGTGGGTGTGAAAACTTGGGTTTAGAAATTTCAAAATTATAATGTATATGTATAATTTGTTGCCGTTATTTCGAACTTTTGTAAGGGGTGTGAGAATATATCAGAAGCATTCTAGGGATGCGGGGTATAGAAAAGGTTGGGAACTGCTATCCAAGAAGGAAGGACTGTAGAGCTAGCATTCTCGACCCTACTGTGGCTGTGAAATATTAAAACTTAAATACTGACTCTGAAAACTTCCCAATATTCCTTTGAATCTACATTTAAGGGAAAGGGTGTATAGTACATCAATATGTTTTATACAGATCTTTGGAGGAAGTGAGCTAAAAGCAAGACTGTAGTCCATCAATGGAGTTTTAGTCTGTTCTTTTGGGAAGAACAGACTAAATTGCAGAGAATGGCTGAATTGATGCAGTCAATTCACTTATTTATAGGCTACTGCAACTGTGCTATTAGCTCTGCACACAAAAATAGCAGTGTTGTTTTTTAAGGGGATAGGTCCCCAACAGTAACAATTTGATGAAGATGAAAAGAGAGACACAGAAAGAATATATCATTTAATAGCACGCACGCACACACACACAACTCTTTCCAAAGCTGGAAGGGTTACTCAGGACCGGCCAGAAGTCGAAACTTTCGCGACGTCGTGAACTTGACTGCAACCCACCTCCGCCTGCAGGAGATGGTTGCATTTGATCTCACCTACGCTCGGCCCACCAGGCTGGACGGACGATTTGAGACCCGGAAAAGCCCCGGGCACGAGCAGGGAAGAGAGCACGAACAGGCGCCGAGTCCCTTCCTGCTCAGTCTGTGTCCGGGCAACTAGGCGCCTCGTGCCCGGTCGTCAGCCTCTCCCGGACCACCCTCGGGCATGGTCGCCCCGCCCCGCCTTTTGTTCGCTACCCTTTAACTCGCTTGAGAGAACCAGGCCAGGGAGTCCTGGTCGCGTTGGGCCGGCCTGCACTGCCACCCCGACACGCCCGGGATGCGTCGCAAAGCGGATCCTCCTTCCCCGCCGAGACAGACAAGCGGAGGCCGAGCGAGCCATACGCCCACGTGGACCATCACGTGAGAAAGGCCTGAGAGGGCGCGCACTGCAGCCGGCGCTGCCCCTTCGTACGGAGGATTGCGTTCGGCGCGCTGCTCTCGCGCATGCGTGATGCCTAGGGAATCAAGCAATGGAGGAGGCTCGTCTCGGTCTTTTTGTTTTCCGGGACTTTTTCTTTTTCCTTTTCGCAGCATACGCAGTGGAAATGGTATTGTGAATAGTATTGTAAAAACATTTCATTAGAAATAGCGCTGTAAAAACTGGCTGCTTTCACACATACACGCGCGCTGAACCAAAAACCATTACTTGATTGTGTTTAAACTATTGTGCATACAGAGCTTTACAACTTAAATGGGATGTTGGGAAAATCTATGCTTATCCAGTCAACCTTGTTTAAGAAACGTGAATGTATGTGATACAGCCTAATTATGTGAATACAACTTATAACTAGTGCATTTTTCTTTGATAGTTTTTGTTAGTGATTAAAATGCACTAAGCCAGTTTTTGCTGCAAAAAAAGGTAAGATGGTCACCCGTTTGGACTCGGGTTCAACAGAGGCTGGTTTTCGCCAAAGTGCAAGGGCCTGAATTCCACAGGAAGATCATCCCTGGCAAGGAGTTCAGTCATGCTAGAAATAGCAGAAAGACATTAATTTGGATGATGCTTAACTTTAAAACATTTTATAGTTTGCATGTAGCCAGCTGGAGATTAATAAAGGAAACATTTTTTTTCAAAAATAATAAATAAATACAATATAGTTACCAAGCTGTGGATTGTACTCTTTAGTGAGTTACACTTAGCCATTTGTCAAGACCTCCCTCTTCCAACTCAGTTTGAATTAGTTTTAATGGTTCCTTATTTATGTATTTTATCAAATTTATATAGCCACCCATCTCCCAAAAAGTAACTGGGTGGGTATACAGCAAAAAATATAAAAAACTATAAGCATACCAAAAGCATTCAATAAACAAGTTTTAAAAAGCATAACCCCCACACAAGAGATTAGATTAGCAGGAAGCCACTTCAACATTTCACCAATCCTCTTAGAGACCCCAGGTCAGATGACATAACCACATCTTGAGGACTTCAGGAAAATTAAATAGGGAGGGAGGTGTCCTCACTTTGTGGGTGCAGGGGGGAAGGAGAATATTCCATAAGTTGGGCACCAGGGCAGACAAGGCCTGCCTCCTTACCTCTGCCAAATGTAGTTCCTTGGCAGGATCCATAGCATGACTCTCTTGCCAGATCTGATGGGATGAGCAGATGTAATGAAGAGAGTTATCTTTTTTAAGTGATATTGTTTTTATTTCTCTTTTATTGTTAACTCCCTTTGCCCTATGGACGGACAGACACACAGACAGAATATACACTGTACATTTTCTGCCACAAAATGTTGGTCACATCCAAATAAAACAAAGGGAATCAACCAAAGGGCTATCCAAATCGATAGTCCTGCATGTTATATTTCATCCTCCTTTGCATTGGATGTGATATAATACTATAAGCCAGACTCAAAGTTTTTAGCCTAGCCTTCTGAACATGCTATCTTTTTCTGGTTTCAGATCATTTATAGAGGGGGACATTTTTTGTGAGCACTCATTGACTGAAATAGTTTACTACCTCAGGTAAAGGTACAGGAAGGTTTCTGAATATATACCGCTAGTGATACATCAAAATATTATACATATGACACAAGACAGACCTTAAAATGTTTCTCCGTGGTTGAAAGTGTGTAATAAGATAACCTCCTTCCCAACCCCAGCAGCCTGTGATCTTTCCTCTGGTATCCAGCAGGTGTTTGTGAGGAGTCACTGAGTCAGCTTTCTGCTTTTGCTTTTTGCTTTTGATCCACTTTGTCCCCTTCAACACATCGCCTTGGCATTCGCATGCAGCACCTCAGGAAATAGAAATGGCAGCCAAGGTCTGTCTTGGCAAGCCATCCGTTTCATTCATACCAGATCAATGACAGAGTTGAAGGGAGAGTAGACTGCGAGAAGATGGGCACGAGGAAGAAACTTCAGTAATTTGTCCTATGGCTATACTGAAGACCCTGCTCTAATAATTTAAAATGCAGATGATTGGCAAGTTCTAGTAATGGAAGTCAAGGAACACAGCGAAACTATAAAGAAGACCAAATTAATAACAATAGATAAGGCAACCAGTTGTAGAACTGGCAAAAATGAAGTGATTTCTGCCTTTATATTCGACTATCAACAGTAAATGAAGCAGTAGTCAAGAAATATGCTGCAGACAAGCACTTGCTAGACCCTGGAAAATATATTCAGATGATGGGATGTGTCTCCATCTACAAAGATCTGGATTGTGCAGGCAATGGTGATTCTGTGACACTTCATAGAAGTGAAAGTTGGACTTTGAAAAAGCTGGATAGAAAGGGTATTTACACTGTTGAACTTTAGTGTTAGAGAAGACTTATGAGAATACCATAGATAGCCAAGAAAACAAGCAAAAGGGTCATTGAACAAATAAACCTGGAAATCTCACTCAGCAAAAATAACAAGATTCAAGTTATCATATTTTGGACAAATTATATTATGACCCAGCTTCCTTGCAGAGTCCATAAAGCTGGAAGGGTGGAAGGAAAGAGAATAAGAAGAGTTTCAACAACAAGGTGGATGAACTCAATGAGTAATGATGGGCATTACTGAAGGGCAAGTTTAAGGACAGATTATCCTGAGAAAGTTTATCTACCGGTATGTGACTGCTAAAAGCTGGTGTCAACTTGATGGCACATAAAACAATTCAACTGAAGGGAAAAGAGGAGGCAATAGTCATGCCTTGATTTCTAGAATTAACTCACTTTTTTCAAACTCCTGGCTGTGCTGCCAGCTCTGTTGCTGGATGCTAACTAGTAACAGCTCCTCCTCTATATCCCTGCTATCTGTTTAAGGGGATTTCTTCAAGCAAAAAGGCATCAAGCTATTACAGTACTCTGCAAATTTCATCTCAGAAAGAGCCTTAAAATACCCTAAAAACCAGCCAGGTTTTAGCCCAAACATTCTCAAAAAGTAATCTCCCCAAATTTAACATTCCATTTCTACTTCCTATATACACATCTAAAGCTTTACTATGCTACCACCTTATTATTTGTGGAAGTTTTATTGTTGTTTTTGAAGATTATAGCAAGAAAATGCTTGTAAACGTATAACTGTTCTCAGAAAAATATTTCCTTTCTGGTGGGACACATGATTGCTGGGAAGTAGAACATGAAAGGTTGAATTGAATTAGAAAAGCACAACTAAGTAAATAAGTACTGCAAAACATGAAAAAAATGTAAAAGATATATCAAAATAATTCACTAGAGGGTGCTGTTTAAAATTCACTTACAAATGAATGGTTTCATTTGCAATGCAATTTCAGCTTTATCAATAGAAACAAATTTTCTAGAAGTAAAATCCATTGACTGAAAGCAGTTGGTTTAACGTCTAAGTAAACAGGAAGATTGTGTTGCACTTGTAGAAACTAAGTGGTTTTAACCAACCCTACTTTTGGTTCAGTCCTTTAAGAAAAAACAATGTATATCCAGGTGAATAGGGTGAATAGAATAGAGGTGGAAGGGACCTTGGAGGTCTTCTAGTCCAGCCCCCTCACTGATTACTTCATGTGGATGTAGTGCTGCTGAGGACTGTTCGTTGAGTACGGTTTGCCAGCCTGCTACAGATCCATCTGGTGGTGATGTTGTCTATTCCAGCTTTTTCTAGCTTACCAAGGAGTAGGTTGTGGTCTACTTTATCAAATGCCTTACTGAAGTCTAAGTATACCATGTCCACAGTATTTTGCTGGTCTATTAGTTTAGTCACTTTGTCAAAGAATAAAATAAGTTTGGTTTGGCGTGATCTGTTTTTAACAAACCCGTGCTGACAACTAGTTATAACTTTGTTTGCTTCTAGTTGTTCGCAGATCTGTTTTTTGATTATCTTTTCTAGGATCTTCCCAGGTAATTACAAAGAGCATGAAGGGATTTGAAACCTGGGCATGATAGAAACAAAGAATACATCTGTTGAACACAGAATCCAGAATTTAAGTTGAATATTGGGAATTTTTCTCCTAATAATAAGAACAATCAGATAGGTGAACCAATTGCCAAAAGGGTAATGGCGCTCCTTCTTTGGATGAGTTCAGGGTTAGATGTCAATCCCACCAACTCTCCCAGTAGACTAAACAGTTGGATTGGTGCATTAAGTAAAGAGCCAGGGGCCTAATGGCCATTTCCCATTTTGATTCTGTAATGAGATACTCAGCAGCTCTTTATAGCATGAATTAAACCATACTTTATAAAATCTAGTGGAACCAAAACCAAGCCAATCACATGTTGTCTGTATATTTTGTGAATAAGGGCATTCCATTAAGTAAAAATGTTTGCTTTGGCTTAACATGTTATGCGAACACTGCCATTGCAGTTTGTTAATGGTTGGGGTTAAAGGTCAACTGTTTGGGGACTGGTATAGGATCATTCGGAAAGTTGAGAGCATGTGATATTTTATTCTCATGGTGCTGTGAGATTGCACAAAATAGCTCCCATAGGGACCTAAACAATGACAGAGTATTGATATAGCAGAATACTATGTATTAATATTCTGCGCTACTGTGAATATATCCAAGCAAACCCTTTCACTTCCAAGAAACTTTTTTGGGGCTCATTTGCAATATGCTAGCTTCCTTCTTTTCTTCCCTGTCTGTTTCAGATAGGGCAGGATGCTTGGTAGTTAGCAAGAAATAATAAAAATACATTGAATTTTATCCTATAGAGAGTATTCATTTATCTTGCCTCACTGGAAAATTTCCAAGAAGGACATTTAAGATGTTCCTTAGCACTTCAGTCAGATTCTAGATCAGGGATGGATAATCAATAGAGTAGACCATATGTTCCCCCACACACACACACACAAGAGACTGTCATTGAGGTTTGATAGTGCAGTTTAGGCCCATTTTCAGATTTTAATGTGGTTCTAAGTGTGGGAGT